GCAAAACAATAAGTTTTTATTTACTGCGTATAAGTTGCAGGTATATAGAACTCATAAAATAAGTTCAAAATGTAAAGAAAACATGCAAAAAATTACATAATAATGAAGAAAAAAGAAAAAAATTAATAAAAAATAAAAATTATAATAATAAAATCCGGAAGAAAAAAAAAAGTTATAATCTTTTCATCAACTCACACGATTGTACTCACAAAAACCAATACAATTTTCTTAAATAACTAGCTGAACACCTGTTCTTCGCACGGGGTGAATAAAAAAAAAAATGAATCAATAAATCAGTACTGAGAAACACAACGCAACTGATAGTTAACCAACACAATTAAAGATGGAAGAATCAGGTGAATGACATTTTTTAGAGGAATTAATGAATGAGAGAGATTAGCATAAAGTGGTTGCGTCAAAATAGGTATGTTTAATGTAACAGAACTGTTTTTGCTTTCATTTTTATCTTAATATAACTAATCTATATTAGTTTTCAGCATAATCCTTATTTCAAATTAGAGTGGTAAATAAAATAAAGCAAAGAATTATTAGTTCCACCTTCTAATAAATTGGTAATAAAATAATTAGGATACAACTTATTTTTTCGTTCTGAAAATATCACTTACCTGGTTTTTCCACAAAGTTTTTCAATTAATGTAGCTTAAATAATTTCAATTATTTTTTATTTAATATTATATGTTGTAATCTTCGGTGGCTTTACGTTATTGAAGTAAGCAAAGCTCGTTATTTATAATTCATACCATTGAAATAAAGCTAAAATGCATTTAGCGTCACTTGGCGTGATGCTATTACTCGCGGCCAATTCTTGATAATTAAAATTTACCACTATTAAGGGATTTACTCAGGTACTCTTTCGAGGGACCGTAAAACGCTTAATTCCGAAGTATCGGTATTAAAACTGCTTAGTATTGGGACAGTCTTCATAATTATCAAATACTTTATAGGCCGGGATAGCCTGGTCGGTAGGGCGCTGGGCCCATGTCCGAGAGTTTGTGGGTTCGAACCCCGCCTTCCGAAGACTCCCCGTGTAGTAAAGTGACTGATGCACGTTAAATCTGTCGAGACGCAAAAGTCCTCCATGTTCCCATAACAAATCAATAACCTCTGGGGATACTGGATTGAATATCGATCGTTCTCTGGTTCAGGTCAAAATTACGATCTGTGGATGAATGAATGGGTCCGCCCTATAAAACGGGTGTGACGTTTGGTGTGGCACAAGTCGAATTCTTGGTCATAGATGGTGCTACTGAAAAACAAGAAACACACACTCTGCCTTAAATTTGCTCGGTTTCACCAAGCAGGCTTACCCGTGTGGCAAGTGGCATTAGAACCAACAAACCAACCATATAATATTTTATACCTTTATTCGTATATTTGGTACTTATTAAATAAACCCTTCAACATTTGAGTTCTAACATATTTGTCTGTGGCAACCAACTAAAGCAGATTTTTTTTAAGAAAAAATGTTAGAATTTCAAAAGGATTTTGGAGCATGACCATTTCTCTATCTAACCTTTAATCATCAGCATTGGCACGACAGCCCTTTGTGAGCCTGGGCCTTCCTCAGAAGTTTTTCCCATTCTGCCCTTCTCCCAGCAATTGTTTTCCAGTTCTTTACTTTTAGGATGGCAAAATCCTCATCCACACAGTCCTTCCATCTCTTTTTGGGCCTTCCTCTTGGCCTTTTATTGGAGGGGTTGCATTAAAGACTCTCAATGCTGTTTTTACTCTGATAGAGCGTGCGTATATTCCAGTATCCAAATCTCATTTCCTTTGAACACTTCCTGGTTAAATTCCGTGAAGGCAGTCCGGCATTTACATTTCGAAGCAGGTTGGTTTTTACGGGGTGGAGTTGTTAGCCCAATCTGGAGGACCAGTCCCCTGATATTATCCCCAGGGGCAGGGTCCCCGGTTATACCCCCGAGCACTGGGTACCTATTTTAGTCGCCTTTTACGACACGTATAAGCTACCTCGGGACAATTCTTACCCCCCAGTCACCACACGGGGCATCTAACCTTTAAATTACTGCTAAATATTTATAAGTAGTGGTGGAAAAAAAGTTCTTTTAATTCTAATTCATTAAAATATTAATATACTCTCTTTGTTACCACTAGAAAAAATATTTTCTGAAACTACGGAAAACCCGTTGTAGCATTCTCATCAAAACCAATTCGCCAATTACCATAATACCAGTAGTACATACTACTGTTAGATACATAAGAATTAAGCGTTATCCGTGAATGGCGATTTTTTAAGCTTTTCTTAAATGAATTTCCCATTAATCTTTCCACCATGAGCTTGGCTTTGCACATAGCTTATTTTATTTTATTTCAATTAATATACATTACCCAAAACGTAAAAAGTAAGTATCGTTTCTCCTTATTTTTGCTTTTTAATTCAGAAGTTACTTATTTTATTTCAATTAATACATATTACCAACATTAATCAAGCATCATTATCATCAATGATAGTATGACGATTTCTTACGGTTCTTCTAGAGCAAATAAATGCCTTTACTCCATAACTTTTGCTTTCTAGTACACAACTTATTTCTTTTATTTCAAAATGTATACATTACCTTAATTAATTAAGCATCATTGGCGTAATTATGTTTCATTGGCGTCGATTTTTTATGTTTCTCCTAAACGAATTAGTACAACTTTCCTTTAATTTTGCTTTTAAATACATAAATATTTTTTTCCTATTCCATTACCGTTGGTTTTAAATAAGTACTTTTTCAGAAACACGTTTAAAAGCATTATTATAAATAAAATAAAAGCGCGTGGTATGAGAAAAAGTTTAAATTTGGTGACGTAGACCACGTTTGCTACCACGAAATGTTCATTGAATTATTCTGACATAGCGAATATAAAATAATCAAATATTTAAATACGTGCAATAAATTATTTTTTGATCGTATAGAGCTATAAGCTAGCAATAATCAGCGATGTTATTTTTAATACATGTGAAAAATTGGATCGTTAAATTTAAAACAATGGTTAACGCTTAACCAATCAGAAAATTTCCTTTTGATTTTCGCTCATCCCGATCGAACGGTTTGTCTTAGAATTTCTTATGTCGATAGTGACCTTCCTCGTGCTGTAAACTATCAGAAAATTATAAAATCTATATCAATCCTGAATGTTGACTTAAACACAAGAAGAAGATAAATAACAACGATTTTAAGGTTAAAAAAAAAGAATGAAGTCAGTTTAATTAATAAGAATATCACCTCAAGCATTCTAAAATAAACACCTCTTTAAAAAATATTTTAATGAGTATAATTTTTTATGATATACAAAGACAAAAAAAAAATATTAAAATTTATTTTTTAGCAGACGCAGTTTTAGTCTCTTTAAAATCAACTGTTTCTGAGGTTTCATTTTCGATCGAAATTATAACCAAAGAATTTTGTCTCTCTTGCGTAATTGTATAGACTTTTAAATTATGTAAATAGTTGTAAGCTTGGAGATGTTTTAACACATTAGAGCAGTTTTTCTCAATATTTTTTACCCTATGCATCTCTTACATCATTGCTAGAAAATCACTACTCTACACCAGTCTAAAATCCCAAAAGGCAACACATTTATTTAGTTTTGTAACCATTTTCCAAGAAACAATAAGAAAACAAAATACCGGGCTAGCTCTGAAATTATTTATTTATATAGTTACTAGCAGAGCACAGAAAACAGTTACAAATTACTAAAAAAAACATATTAACAAAACGAAACTCACATAACACTAAACGGACAGATTATTTTGGAGATGTTCTCCAATCGGTTGCCGCAGTTCAACTCAAAAGTTTCGCCACAAGATGGCGTGGTGGTAATTCAGTTTTAAAGTAGTATAGTTCTGTTACAGTTTCAGATTATATTTCAAAATTAAAAAAAAAAAAATTCTCTTAAAATATGCATTGTTCTCCACTTTCATAAACTAAAACTAAAGACCTAACATCCTTAATAAAAAGAAAACATAATTATTTCAGATTAGCAACTTTGTGGAAATCAAACAGTACACTTATTTGCAATTTTTAATTATAAGATAAGCCAATGAATTTCATTTGTAAGCTTTTTTTCTTTTGAGTATTTATCATTCTAAACTCATTCTAAATACTTCAATTCTAATAACTTCATTCTCTTGACTCATTCTAAACATAGACGAGAGAATTTAATTTGAGCCGTATTCAGAAATGGTTAGTGATGAGGAAAACGAATATTATATTTAGAGAAAGGTTGTAGGAGTTTATTTAGACGTGTAACAGTATTGTCGATTGAGCATTAAAAAAAAAGAGAAAAAAAGGAATATCGAAGTTGATAACTTTGACGTAGTCTGCGGCAGAAACCCGTCTTTCTTAAAAATTTTGAATTTTCATTTTTTTGTTACATATGTCATAGGCCGATTGGAAAATCCGGCCGTTTGCAAACGGCCTACGTCATTTCACAAAACATCTAAAACTACAATAATCCAACAAATACCGTCGATTTTTTACTACGAGACGGGTTTTCCAATTAGATCGTCTAAATGAAAAATGGACACGCATTATAGCACAGAAAAATCAACAATGTCCTTCTTCAGGATTATAAAATATGATAATTGGAGTAGACCGCAGATTGTGTATAGCTTATTGACCAGTTCACATGAAAGCATTTAAAGTGAATGTAAAGTTTTGCTGTAATAAGGATGTGTCCAAAACAGAACAAGACGCAATAGTGTGATTTTTAGTGATGTAAGGGACCTAATGTTAATCTTTATGGACAAACGATTGCTATAGAAGCACAGTTCAGAACACTCATTGTTGTACAAACGATTCTGAAAGAGATGAATATAATACCCAAGACAGTAGGCATCAGGATTTCCAATGAGTTCAATAATGCTGCTGATTAAAAGTGATAATGAAAGAGTCACGACTTGTGACCTTTGTGCAGTACTTTTGCACTAAAAATGGTACAACTTCACGCTGTTTAGTTTGGATGCACCCTTTTTAGTACGACTTTATATTTACTTTAAATGCTCTCACGTGAACTCGTTAATCAGTTGTGTATGATGGTACCGCTATAGCTTATAATACCTGACACTACCACTCTCGTCCAAAATTCATTTAAGAAACCATTGTATTTACACAATTTTTATAATCAAAACACGGTTATATGTTTATGCTCTCATTCATTCTATTTCAGTGGAAAATTCAGAACAAAAAGAGGAAGGTTAAAGATTAGAGTCAGGAGAAGCATAAGTCATCTTTCTGAATTAAAAAAAAATATGTTTAAGAGTGACTTAAACAGGAATTTAATAAGGAATATAAAGAAAAAATGTAAATAAGGATTGAAATAGTATCGAAGTCAAAAACAGTTTAGCAACTGAATTACAATCAGACATGAACTGGTTAATTAAATTAAGTTTGATATTGTTATTAATCTATACGCTGTTTACTCATGTTGAGCCAAAAAAGCATCATCACGGCTCGAGATCTAAAAGTCCGTGGGCAAATCCTGTCAAAGCACAGACTTTTATGAAGTGTCTAATTCAAACAATAAGCACATCCCCGGTGTTCCCTGAAAAAGAAAAAAAGGATATGGAGGGAATAATGGAAATTGTGATGTCTGCCTTCAACAGTGTGAACAGTTCAAAAGGAAGTTATTTTTCTAAGATGAAGGCAATGAACAAGGCCTTCGCTGCATCAATGGCAGAACTTGTATTAGCTGAAGGTGTTGATTACCCTGAAAGCATAAAAGTAAAAACTGAAGCACTTACAAAAGCTTTGCAGCATTGTCTTAAATTTACCGTAGGAACTGCAAACAGACGTTTGATTACTGACATTAAAAGATTAATCTGCCTGTTTTTGAACGAAGCAGCAGATGATGTTTCCATAAACGAAGCAGAAGACTATGATTTAGAAAGGCCTTCGGAAGTATTAGCGAAAACTGATGGCAGCGCGACATTGGAACTTAAGGAGATATTGCTTAATGGCCTCCTAAGATCCGAAACATTCAAAACCATATTCAATAGAGGCACTTCTCTACAATTTGCTATAAATGCGTCCGATTTCGCACTGCAGTCAGTGGCAATCCGCCTAAGTCTGAACGAATCTGTGATTTCACAAATAAAAAACAGGACTGTTCAGTCCATTTATACTCTTTTTACCAACTGCACTAGTATTAAAACAAAAGAATATGCTACGGTAATTGCAGTGAATATCGCTGCAGTTTTAGGAAGCAAATTTAAAATAAATCATGGAAATGTAAAACAAATTTCAGCAAATATCGCAATTCCCTATATTAGAGAATTAAATATTATGTCACCAAGTCTTTATCTTCGGAAAATAGACGTAGAAGCTGATTTAAGAAAAGTGCAATCCTTCATCCTGTCTAATGATACACAGTCTTCCTCCGGTAATATCAATCGTACACTTTTTGCAACAATCGCAACGTCACTCTTGAACTCAAAAGTGTTTCGTGAAACGTTCAATAACAATACTACCAAGGAAATCGTAGTTAATATATTAAAAAATTTTGCTCCTCAAATTGCTTCTAACTTCAGAATGGATAACATTACTACATCTAAGCTAGAAAATGATTTAATTAGAACTGTATCAACAGTTACAAAAGGATCTAGTACACGAGATTACGCTCAAGCCATTGCAAATGCAACTGCCACATTCATGTTAGCCAATGGTCAGATATCCGACGCCAATTTGAGCAGAATAGCTACAAAGTTTCTTTCAGTTTTTTTCCATGAAGTTACCACTAGTGCAACTAAATTTGGAATCGACCTGTCAGGCATCGATACTAGACAAGATTTAGAGAATATAACTAGGAACATTAAAATGAGCATCCAAAGTAGTATTTCACAAAATGACTCTAGTCTTGATACTGGAAAAACCATACTTGTTGAATCTGCCAAGCCCGACGATGATGGTACAAATTTTCCTACTTCTACCCTTCAATATAGAAACTGGATCATGATACCTAAACTTGCACAGACTTTATTAAATGCCTTTCAAAGGTCAAATACTTTTGAGACTATATTCAATCCAAATGTTTCCCAGCAGGTTGTATTAAGTGTGTCTAATGCAGCATTGCAGGCCGTTGCTGACGGTTTAAGACTAGATAAGGAAACACTTTCGCTAATGAAAAACAAAATTACACATTCTCTTTCCACCATCAGCAATGGCACCGATACAAGCGTCTATGCTATGGTAATTGCTGAGAATATCGCTAACGTTTTAGGAAGCAGATTTGTAATAAATTACGAAAATGTGAGCCGAATTGGAGTAAATATTGTAAGTTACTTTATCAGAGGATCAACCGTTATTGCACATAGACTAGGATTTAAACTTCAGAACGTAGATACTGATCTAAGAAACGTGCAATCATTTATTATTTCTGATAATCTATCAGTTCCAGAGACTACGCCTCTTATATCCGATTCTGCAGGACATCATCCAAGAGGATCGATCGCATTCAAGTTTGGATCCTCTACAGCTGGAGTGTATCTAAAACTTTCTGCAACACTCAAATCTTCATTCTCGAACTCGAAAGTGTTCCATGCCGCTTTCAATAACAGGACATCCAAAGAAATCGCCGCTAGTATTTTGCGAAATATTGTAAATAATATTGCCTCTAACTATAGATTAAACAGCAGATCAGCACGATTCCTCATAAATACTGTAATTAGAGCCGTATCTACGGTTAAGATAGGATCCGACACAAAAGCTTACGCTCAGTCTATTTCTAATGCAACTGCAGCAGAGTTAGTAGGCAATGGCCAAATATCCAGCACTGATTTGTATCAGAAGGCTACAGGACTTATTTCAATTTTCTTGCAAGAAATTTCTTCGAATGCTTCTAGGTTTGGAATCGATCTATCAGGCATCAATGCTCAAGAAGATTTATCGAATGCAGTTAGGAGCGTTGAAGTAATAATTCAAAGTCTCCCCACTTCAAATGATCCTGAATATGCTATTTATGAGTTGAAATATTCGGACGAAGGTGATTCCATTCCTTTTGATAGAAAACTAGGTACTCCACATTTTGTCCCTACAGATGGTTTCGCTACATCGAAACTACTGCAGATATTATTTAGGTTTTTCCAAAGATCACACACATTTAGAATGATATTCAATAGAAACTCTACTCGATCAGACGCGATTTCTGTGTCTGAATCAGCGTTGCAGTGGGTTGCTTCCAGCTTGAGACTGGATGAGGCTATGACTTCTAGACTGAAAAACAAAATCATTCAATCTCTTTCCAAAGTTAACGCAGACTCCCATACAAGCGTTTATGCCATTGTAATTGCTATGAATACTGCTACGTTCTTAAGTAGCCTATTTAAAATTAATTTGGAAAGCGTAAACCAAATTGGAGCAAGTATTGCTAGCGCTTTCATTAATGGGTCATCTATCGTTGCTCTAAGATTAGGACTTGAGCTTCCGAATGTCAACGTGGATGCCGATATAGAAAACACTAAATCATTCATCTTGTCCGATTTACCCAGTTCATTGATTGTATCTCCTAATGTTAGCTTAATTGGGGGTTATCCTAATGAATCTGGCTTATATATGTTTGAACCCTTGGAAACAGTCGTAATGGCCATGAGACTTTCGGCATCACTCACTGCTTCGCTGTCGAATTCGAAAATTTTCCGAGCTGCTTTCAATGCAAAGGCACCTAGAAAAGTCTCCATGAATATTTCGAGAAGTCTCGCGGATGCAATTGTTTCAAAATTTGGATTGGATAACAGTTCTGTGGCAATAATGATAAAAGCTATCAAGAGTGCTGCATCTAAAGTTAACATAAAATTATATAATGAATATTTAGCTGAAGCATTTAGTAACGCAATTGCTGAAGTGTTCGTAGCGAGAGGTCTAATTTCTAACTCGAATTTGAGACAAAATGCTATAAAACTTGTTTCAGTTTTCTTGGAAGCAATATTCTCTACCGCACCTCAGTATGGAATCGACATGTCAGGGATCAACGCTCATGAGGATATATCAAACGCAACAAGGGATATTGAAGTAATTATCCAAATTAGTTTTCCGGAATACCCCAGTATCGATTCTGCGTACGCTTTAGTCCAGTCTGGTTATCCTGGTCAAAAAAGTGCCATTTATGCAGACATAAATTCGGATCACCAATTTGTCAAATTTATACAGATGGATTTGTCCTCTAAACTTAAATGGGCTTTATTAAATACCCTTCTAGGATCAGACTCCTTCAAAAACTTATTCAATCGAGACGATTATCCACGGATTTTGATAATTGTCTCTAACTCAGCTCTGCAGTTTGTTGCTCCAAGCTTAGGCCTCGATACTGCTGTGGTTTCGCAACTAGAGAATAAAATCAGCTTATCTCTTTCAAGCATTAGAACTGGTTCAGACAAAAGCATCTATGCCAAACTAATTGCTAGTAATATCGCGACAGTTTTTGAGAGCAATGGTAAAATAAACAATGAAAATGTAAACGAAATTGGTACGAATTTTGCAAACGCCATTATTAAAGGATTAGCCCTTATTGCACCAGGTCAGGCATCATCTTCAACTAACGGAACTGTCAAACTTTCAGAGCTGCTTACATCTTCTCTCGCTAATTCAGAAGTGTTCAGAGTAGCTTTTAATGACAAGACATCCAAATCTGTTGCCCTCAATCTTTCAATAATTCTCTCAGATTCGATTGTTGCCATAACGGATAATAGTACAAAAACAAAGCTGAAAAATGCTATGGTGACCGCCATATCTAAAGTCAAAATCGGTTCTGACACAAGAAATTATGCTATAGCTCTTTCTCGTGCAATTACTGAAGTGTTAGCAGCCAGCGATCAGACATGGAACTCTAATTTAAAGCAAAATGCTCTGCAACTGATGTCGAACATAGTACAAGTAATATATAATAGTGCTCCTCTGTTCGGTATCAACGTCTCAAACATCAGAATTCATGAGGATATATCTAACGCATTTAAAGGTATTGTAATAACTATAAAAAGTAACCCTTCTCAAGGAGAATCCGGTCCCGATTCTGGATATCCTGTTAAAGATGATCCCCTTTTTCTTGGTACAGATTTGGAACCGTCGTTACTCGTGACTACTGATGACAACGCTACATCAAGACTTCAGCAATTTTTGTTAAATTCTCTTTTAAGATCAGATTCTTTTAAAGCCTTATTTAAAAGAGACGATTTCCAACGTGTTCTGTTAATTGTGTGTAACTCAGCACTGCAGTCGATTGCAGACAGCTTAGGAGTGAATGGAACTTCTATTTCGCAATTTGAAAACAAAATCAGTCAGTCTCTTACTGCCTTACATAATAACTCGGACTCCGACACTTATGCTATTATAATAGCTTCGAATATCGCTGCAATTTTAGGTAGAGGCGGTAAAGTTAATGACGGAAATGCATATAAAATCGGAGCGAATATTGCTAATGCCATTATCAAAAGATCAGCTGTTATTGCAACAAAATTTGCATCAGGCAGAATAACTACAAAAATTTCCACACTACTCGCAACTGCTCTCTCTAGCTCGAAAGTGTTCAGAGCCGCTTTCAATGCCAAGACATTCAGAGAAGTCGCCACAAACCTGGCAAGAAATCTCGCAGATTCGATTGTCACCCATTCTCGATTGAATAACAGCACAGCAGCGAATCTGAAAAAGCTTATAGTGGATGCCGTATCTAGAGTTAAAACAGGATCGGACACAAGAGACTACGCTCGAGCTATTGCTAATGCAACTGCCAAACTATTAGCTATCAGTGGCCCGTTATCTAACTATGATTTGAAACAAAAGACACCAAAGCTTTTTTCAACTTTCTTGCAAGTAATATATTCCAGTGCCCCTCAGTACGGAATTGATCTGTCAAGTATTAACTTTGAAGACGATTTATCAAACGCAACTACAGGAATTGTATTAGCAATCGAGACTAGCCCTTCTTTAGATGAACTTAAACTTGATACTACTTACAATGTTGGCCCTTATTATGGATATTCTGACAAAAATGTTTTCACACCTCAGGGTCTCATTACACCCTTTAACGTTTCTGTTGAAGGACCTCCTGAAGAGATACAACCTTTAACTTTCCTTATAAAAAAGTTAGTTGATTCTCCCAGTGGATTGAAGTCTCCAGAAGCTGAAGCCCGTGTCAAAAAAATGGTTTTATCAGTTGCTCAATCACATGGGCAAAAAGGTTTGGATATTAGCGCATTTCTAAACATTTTTAAATCGAGTATTTTTCAACTTTCAAATTCCGATTTTTCAAGATGCGAAGCAACGGTCGAAGCTCTTATGGAAGTCATGGTAACCTTTGTGCAAGTTCTTGGATCAGCTAAAATTAGCACAGTTGATACTTCATCTACCTTAAAAATTATTGATTCTGTCGCTGATGCTCTATCTGCTCTTTGAAGTGATTTATTAAATCCGCATGCATTGAAAACCACATGAATCGCAATATTTAGTATTCAAATTATCTAATTACTTCTAAATAAATTGGATCATTATTGTTATTGTTGTTGAGTTTTTCACTCCAATTATTTTTTTCAAGCAACTTACACTCTGAAACTTTTTTATAATTTAAATTCAATATTGCATGCAATCAAGATGTGTTTACGGTAAGTATTTTTTCGATGAATTTCGATTGTATTAAGTTATACGGTAAGTATTTTTTCGATGAATATTTACGAAGGTTATGCATATCAAAACATATAAAATAATTTGTTAAATTTGAAAATTTTTAAATATAACTTAATTTTTATAGATTTTTACAAAATGTGTGTAATTGGGTTATAATTTCAAGTATGTGATTTCGCTGATGTTTTTCGCAATAAAAATTATAACTGAATAATCACAAAGAAATAGGTAAAAAAATAATTATATTAGAAAACTATTTAACTATATGCTACACAGCAAATAATTATATATATATAAAAAAAAAAACACATATACATAAATATTGCATTGAAGTTTCGATCTCAGAACGTAAAAAACAGATGATTAGATCCAAAAAAAAGTTAGCCAAGGTTTTTCCTTACCTTTTGCAAACTGTACACACATTTTACCACATTAGTAATCGGACAAGAAATGGCCAAGTGATTTAAAACTTCAGCTAATATTAATTTCGGTTATCTGCTGAGAAAAAAAGTAGGTAAACAAATAACAAAAATTACAATCTAACTGAATAGAGCCGTGATGGCTCAGGGGATAGAGCGTTCGCCTTCCAATGAGGTAAACCGGGGTTCGATCCCGGCGATGGCTGGTCGATACGAATTCCGCATCCGGCTTGCACCGACCACAGTGCTGACGTGAAATATCCTCAGTGGTAGGTGGATCATGGGACTAGAATCTCTTTGCCACCAAGTTAACAATGGGACGTTACGCAAATGCGGGTAAGTTCCATCAAAAAGTCCACCACGAAGGCAAATTTCTCCCAATACTTGATCCAGTTCTCTTGTCTTCTGTATTGGGTTCAAAATTACAAGGCTACGGAGTTGAACATTAGTAGTAGTAAACCCAAAATTGGGTCGGCTGTTCAACTATGGTTAAAATAAAAATCTGACTATAATTCTCCTTTTTGATGACTAACATAAGTTGAAAAACTCTTTTTTATACACACACAACAAAAATATTTTTAAAATTATATGCATAAAACACTATTAATTGAATGAAATGAAATTTACTTTAAAGTAAACTTACCTTTCTCTTCTTGGGACTTCTAAACCTAAAAACAAATGTTAAAAAATAAATAATTAAAAACTAAGTTTATGAAGTAGACCAGAAAAGTGAAAATTAATATATTTTTGTCAAACCTAAAACGAAACACATAGATCACTTTCAAAAGAGTGTAGAAGGAGGTGGCGAAATATAGGCGTCTATAAATCCTACTTTTTTCGCTTTAAGTGAAACAAAAATAAACTCATTTTTTAGTTTCTAATCTACAAGGAAAATTTTGATTCATTTTTTATAGCTTGTTTTCTGTCGGAAAGTAGTCAAAATTTCAAGAGGAGAAAAAGTTTGCTTGCACAATTTTTTTCAGCTGTGGAACCCTAAATGTACAGGAACACAGATGAGAACACTTTGAGGGAACACTGTGAAATATCTAGGATCATCCATTAATTAACAAATTTATTGCAGAGGTTAAGAAAGACACTAATTAAAATTGGCTGTTTACTTAATACATCTATTAGCAACCAAATGACACATAAAATTGATATTTAGTATTAGGAGGGTTAAAAAAGCTAATGAAGAAATTCGAAAATTAACAAAAAGAATAACTCCACGAATCAATAAATGATCTAAACAATGACTCAATCAATAAATGAGTTAATACATCATTGAATAAACAGACAAGATAATTGTAAGTTGGAAAAAATGATAATTTTCTGTTTTGTATGATTCACCGATTAGTTAAAATATTTTATTTCAATAATTGACTGATTCACTGTTAAATTGTTGTAGTTAATTTACGTCGCACTAGAGCTGCACAATGGGCTATTGGCAACGGTCTGGGAAACATCTCTGAGGATGATCCGAAGACAAGCCATCACAATTTTGATCCTCTGCAGAGGGGATGGCACCCCCGCTTCGGTAGCTCGACGACCTGCACGCGAAGTCGAGCACTTTACGGTAGAACAGTTTAACGAGGACCAATACCGCACACCCTCGGTCCCTACGCAGACTGATCCAAGTGGTCACCCACCCGCACACTGACCGCAGCCAGTGATGCTTGACTTCGGTGATCTGCTGGGAACCGTGTCTTAACGATCAGTCCACTGCGGGACGAATCACTGTTAAACAAATTGTTTTGTTTGCTCATCATTTGTTCAATTATTGATTTGCGGGTTTGTTCAGGAACTGATTTATTCATTCACAGATTAGCTTCTTTATGGTTCATTTTCACTGCTCATTCAAATTTGCTTTTTTTTTATTTTGTAGATGCCTAACAATCGTCATTTTTTGATCAAATCAGTGAGTGTTAGGTATTGGTTTGTTGAACTGTTGATTTATTTTTTTATTGATTTGTTCATTCTTATATAATTTAACTGATTGTTTACTTATTCAATGATTTGTTGATTTACTTTACACTCATTTAACGATTTTCTCTTATTCTGATTTAATTTATGTAATTCAGTTATTCACTGTTGTAAGAACATAAGATATATCTTCGATAAAAAGTCTAAATAAATTTTTAATTCGGGTTAAGGAATAATAAGGTTATTTTAGATTTATTAAGGTTAGGTAAAAACCTTCACAATGACTAGCAAGTGCGTAAAATTATGGTAGCCAATAAACGCTACCCATTTTTATTAACTTGTATCTCTTAGAGTATAAGTTGACACTCTATTCGTAATAATGAGATAAAAAATTTCGGGTGCATAAATCAATTACTGTAAAAAAACAAAGTATAGAAATTTCAACCATTTTAATTCTTAAATCTACAAAATTTTTTCAAGTTGAAAATATTTCACATTGTTCTCCCTGGATAAGATACATTTGTCCTCAAAATAAAGCTGCATTAACAAATACTGTGAGGCGAAACTGCTGTCGACTTATTCTTTCTACAGATCTCATGTTAAATGTCATATTTAAATTATTTAAGAGGTGTAGAATTTCGAATTTTTTTGTATGGGGAAATGCAAACATTTATAGTGTTACATGTTCTTGAAAAAATTGTCTTAACTTTTCTTATAGTTAATTTTTTTTCTAAACATAATTAAAATTATTGTTTCTAAATAAATAAATAAAAAGTGCATATTTAAAAGAAAATTTAATGAAAGAAAATTTAATGAAAGAAAATGCAAAATTAATTGTAGCAACTAAAAAGGGGGTAAATTGATACAGAGTAATTCACATCTATCTCATTGTTTATAATGCAGCAACAAATGCCAAACTTCATAGCAGGTGAATGACTTAACCTGCTGATTTTCGTAAAATTTCGGGGGTTTGGAAAGTAGACTTAAAGATTAGAATAAACAGTAGATGGATTTGAACTATTTACTGTAACATATATATATTAATCTTAATACTTAAAACATGTTTTTTTTATTTAATTATTTAAGTGTAACAACACTATGTGTGACACAAGAGAAAGAAAAAAGAACACTCTATTAGAAAAAAGATGTGTAGATGGAATTTATTTCAAAGATAAGAAAAAGCTGAATATATACATCTAGCACCAGATGGTGAAATCTATACTCCCTATATTAATCGTACCACCAGGCATACATAGAACTGTATGAAGACATTTTTTTTTATTTCTACAAGAATGCATTTAAAGAAGATGTTATTAGAAGCAGGCTAGTGAAAAACAATATCTTTCAGACATCTAAACAGAGATGAAAGAGTTAATGAGGCACTGACAAGAAACAAAACAAAACAAAAAAAAAACTTCTCTCCGTCAAAATTCATGTTGTAAGAAAATAAATATATAATTGGAATGGTTTTTTCTTAAAGGGTAACATTCAAAACGAGAATAAAATTATGTTCATGTACATTATAACAATAGAGAAAAAATAATATGTTAATATTTACAGTAATTTTCACTAATGTAAGTTAAACTAATCTACTTAAAGAGTTATAAAATGGGTTTAAGTTGCATAGATTATTCAAGAACTTACTGCGTAAAAGTTACTGACAGGAGTTTTATATTATTTTGACATGTACATTAATATTATCTCTAAAAAGAAATCAATTTATTACAGGTTTTTCTTAATGGTAAAATTTACAATAAACTCTTTGACAGTAATTTTTTTAACAAACATAAAAACAATCCACAAACATAAATTCACAAACAATAAATAAATAAATTTACATGTTTTGCGTGAAAGTTAAAAATTTATGATACATAAAAGGGCAGCAAATAATTTTGATTATTAACCAATAATATCAAAGAAGTATAAACAATATAAATTTCAGCAGCAATTTATAAACAAAACTTTGTTTTAAATTTAAAACATTAGTTTTTGTTACCAAGATTAATGTTAAAGTGACACAAAATGTACCCAAATAAGTTAATTAAAATCAATATTAGCAATAATTTAAAAAAGAGATTTCACCTTAATAAAATTAATTCAACAATCAAAGAATTATGTTTACATAAGTACGTTAAGTAAAATCAATTATAATTAGTATATTATCATAACAAACATGAATACATAATTATTAAAATTTAATTACAACTAATAATTTAATTTTTGATCTAAATATAAGTAATTCTTCAATAAACAGAAATTAAAAAGAAATTTTTTTTTTTTACTCATTCAGGAAATACACATTAAACAAGAAAATTATTTTATTAAGAAAATACTCAGTCAATTCCATTTTAGTTAATTAAAATGCTAAAAACAACTTTTTATATTTCAAATAAGAATAAAATATTTAAAAATCATCATTAACATCATTTTAGCAAATGAGAATGAGATATTTATTACTATTAAATGCTAATTTTCTTTAAACAAAAGAAAAATAGTGAAAAAAAACTATTAATTAATATTTGCTGCCATATCACAGTTGCTAATAAATATACAGAGAAACTTACAAAAATACTATCTCATTTTTTTTTGTAATTATCTATCTATACAGCAGCAGTTACAGTTAACAGAACTCAAGGTAAAATAAAATTCCTTAAATTATTTTATTTTAAGAATAAAACTCTAAAATAAAATATAAACATTTTGCATTACACACACAACAAAACATTTCATTATAATTTATATATTTCTTAGCCTTGGTAAAAAAATAAATTAAAATCAACAATAGATATACTTTAAATTGCACAAACAAGTTTGTACGTGTCTAGTTTTAAGCAGTTAAAAAAATATTTTTAAACATTTTTGGCATATCTTATTGCACTGAATTTTAAATAATGATATTAGCTGCAGCTGCATATTCAATAACAAAGTTGAGATATATTAGGCAGTTTCTCATTCTATGTTCTTTTTATGCCATCGATACCCCGAGGGCTCGCCGAGAATATTCGTACACGACATAGCTGATGCTGACGGCTGGTGCAACTTTCATGAAATTCGGCGTGATGCCCCTGTAGAGTCCAGAAAAGCCTTCTCGCTTAATGATAGTTTTGAAAAGTCCTACCATACTAGATTCAGTCCTAGATTCATTTGTTACAGCTATAAAGAAAATATACAATTTAGTTTTAATATAGAAATTTAATAAAACTAGTTGATTTTATCCCAATTACAGAGTTGCCACATAAAAAAATGAACAAAATAGTTGCTTTTAGTAGCTTAAAACACGAAAATAGTAGCCAAAAACAGGAAAATAGTTGCCTAAATAAGAACGAAAATTCATCAAAAATATGACTAAAATTTTGTTAATGAATTAATTGTCATATACCACGATCCATTCAGTCAAGTTGGTAAGTAATATGATAATTTTTATATAAACGTAATTGTTTATATATATATGAAAAGTGATTACTCAAGTTCGAAATTCACGCATCGTAATATCATATTAAATTTTTTTCTTCTTTAAATTATGCAGAACTTCGTAGCAATAATCATTGTACAGGCGATCAGGAAATGAAATAGACTTACAATGAAGTCTGTTCAGATTGATTGAATTAAAAAGTGAAGACTTAAATTTGCAATTCAAAATTTTCAAAATTTTTTCAGAAAAAAAAAGTTTAGACTGTTCAGAAACTATCTTGTGGGGTGCAGATTTTCCACTTAATTTATGTTTAAAAAAAAAAACATCGCTAGGAGTTCAGAAAAGTCTCCCAATAGTCTCCTTTTCCTGAAAATAGTTGCTTTTTAGCCTTTTCAGGCAAAAAAAGTTGCCATAGTCGCCTTATGTCAAAAATAGTTGCAAACAGTTGCATTTTAGTCGCCCGTGGCAACCCTGCAATTATCATCTTTAATGCACATTTTTAGAATCCAAGTAAAAAAAAAGTTTGCGTAAGAAGTAATTAATATTTAAAAAGGGAAGGAAAGAAAATAAATGCAGTCGAAGTTTTTTGAATCTTAAGTGAGAAACATGAAATAAAAAACATCGAAAACCATTTGATAGCCCAATGGACATTTCCTAATAATCGTTTTCTCAATTCGTGTCTGTTTCCTTCAACAAGCTACAATATCCTCAGTCCTCCTTTTCCTGAGTGGGAAAAATGAGGAAAGATGCAGCGTTAAATTATGAAATTCTCATAAATATTTTTTCAATTATATTAAGAGAGGAAAAAAAAACAGCCTTATACAATATGATTCATTGAACCCACTCTCAAAAAGAAAATATATATATATAACATCTCCTAGTAGAATCAAATTCACAATTCAATATTATTATGAAAAAGAGAAAAAAGCCTTCAACATTAGAGTCTGCTCTCTAAAAGAAGGAGCATGTGTACTCTTCTCTAGATGTTATCAGATCTAATATTCACAATACTTGTTTTTTAACATTATGAATATACGCACTAATTAAAACATTTAATTGTAATTATTTTAAAGTTGAAAATCAAAACTATCAGTAAGTTGAACTGCCAATAACTCGAGGTGTTTTGCTTGTTCTGTCAAATTTGATTTACTGTGAATTGACTGCAAAAAAATATGAAATATGGAGAGTATTAATTACCTTGTGCTTGAAGACGTGTTCTAACTAAAGCTAAAGGGTAACTTGCAATTTGGCCACAAGAACTACTGGCAGTTCCACAACCAAGAAGTACTAGAATACCAGGATCTGTTTCTTCTGGATGACTATGTATATATGTCTTTTTTAAAGTCTGTAAATTGAATAGAAATCTTTGAATTAAAAAACTTCTACAATAACAATAATTTCTAATGTTTAGCTGATATTCGTAAATAAGAGGGGGAAACATTTTCTTTAAGTTTTAAGACAAATTTAAAATTAATCACTTTAAAACTTACCTAAAAAAAGAGGATTGATTATCTATGAGCTGAGCTTTTTTTAAATGAATGGTACTGATTAAAATCTTTATAAGTGTTGAAGTTTGATAGAGAATTGAATACAAAATTCACACTAAGGTTGTTGTTTTTTTGTCAGTTTAGTGAGTTTTTCAAAAAATATGATCTGCTGGTAATTTTAAATCAAAGATTATTAAAATCAGAAAAATTGGGATCATTCAATGCAGTTTAAATACATTATATCCATGATTCCAAATCATTCTTTGCTACTGATGCAACATGATCATTTCACAAATTTGGTGAAATAATCAATCCTAATATAGTAAGACAACCTCTAATAGATAAAAATAGTGTTAGTTAAGTACTATTAAGTTCTTCAATGCCTTATTTCTTTATTAAATAATGTAAATCATTCAATTTATGTAAATTATCTTCGCATTGCAAACTAAAAGTAATTATCCAAATTAGTTGTGAAAAAAATTAGAGACAAAATAAAAAAATTTTATACCTCATATATAGCTAAGTCAATTCCAGCATATGGGATAATGCCTATCAAATTTGGAACATAGCCTCTGTAGAAACTCTTAAGGCCTTCTGTTTTGTAAATTTTGCAGGTAGCATCCCAAATGCTTTGATACTGCCCAGTCTTTCGAAGTGCCAGCCTGGTTTTCAAAACCTAGAATTCATCAAAAACAAACACAGTTAATATTTTAACAAAATCACGAATCCTAATGAACAACATATTCACATTCATGCTATTGTAAATGTGAATTGTCAAAACTATAATTTACCTCTAATGGATAGATCACAGTCTGAGAAATACCTCCAGCTAATGAACCTGCAGCAAACCTTCCATAAATTCCTAGTTCACGTTCTGAATCACCTCTAATTAATCGCTTTGCCTAAATTGGGATAAATATTTAATACTATGAAACGAAGAAAAAAAAAAAGATGAAAATTAAGATTTAGCTACTATATTTAGGAGGTAACATGTAGCACTGCAATGTCAATTTAAACAATTTTATTATGTAATATTAAAATGATACATTTAATTGAAATTCTATAAGTTACATCCATCCAAATAACAAAATTATTTTAAATTTTTTCAAACACAGATTAATGATAGTAGAACTTTTGTACAATAATTTTAAAATTCAAAATGGAGCATTAAGTTGATACTCAGTCAGTACATTATTCAAACAATAAATTAAGCTTTATTTAACAAAACATTACTTAGATTTAAAAGATTGTAAAAGGATAATTCAACAGAAATTACAAAAGTACTAATGATATTAAATTGAGTTTAATTGCAATAAATTAGTTTGTCCCTAAATTAAGAGGTTGCTCCTAAATTAAAAGAAATATCAGTTAATTGGAATTTGGAAAAATTTAATGTTTTCTTTAATTTAATAGCCTTAACTAAAAGCTGCAAAAATTAAAGTCATTCTAATTAACAGGATTCCTATTCAATATGAGAAGAAAAAAAATCCAGACTTTTCTAATTATTCCAAGAAAATTTCAACTACATTCTGGACCATATATTGGCTTCAGTAATTTTACAACAAAAACTACATTTTTTTTAAAACTCAATATATAAATTTCTTCTTCTTCTTCAGGAGCGCAACAGCCCTTTGCAGGCCTTGGCTGCCTCAACAGCACGCCTTCTCCAGCTCCCTCTGTCCATGGCAACTCCCCTCCAGTTCTTAAGTTTCAGGACTTTGAGGTCGTTTTCAGTGTCTTTGAGCCATCGAGTAGGTGGTCTACCTCTAGAGCGGGACCCCTGAGGGTTCTTGAAGGTGGCAATTTTTACAGGGCTATCTTCAGAGCCTCTCCATATATGTCCGAGCCATCTTAGTCGGTTGCTTCGGATTATCTGCATAATTTGAGGATGTTTATAGAGCCCATAAAGTTCAAAGTTGTACCGTGTTCGCCAACATCCCCCCTCTGGTATGGCACCAAAGATAGTTCTAAGTATCTTTCTTTCAAACGTTTCTATCGGGCGTTGTACGTCAAGGTTTAAAGTCCAGGTTTCGTTTCCGTATAGCAAGACAGGCAGAATGAGTGTCTTATATAATTTTAGTTTTGTTTTTTGGCTAATAAAATTCGATCTTAGTTGACTTTTTAGTCCAAAAAAACATCTGTTGGCCATATTGATTCTATTGTCAATTTCAGGTTTCAGTTTGTTTTGGTCATTGATAATTGTACCAAGATACTTAAATTCTTTAACCTTTTCAAAGGAATGTCCGTTTATCTGCAAAGGTTCACTATAGTTTACAGTTGAGCTTGAAAACTCCATGAATTTGGTCTTGTCTTCGTTAATGGAAAGGCCCATATTTATAGCAGAGGCCTCAAGGGCTTGAAAGGCATCTTTAACAGCCCGTTCTGATCTTCCAATGATATCAATGTCGTCCGCATAAGCGAGGATTTGGAGAGATCTGTTCCAAATAGATCCTCCTCGGTTTAATCCGCTATCCCGAATGCATTTCTCCAATGCCAGGTTAAAAAGCAGACAAGCAAGAGAGTCTCCCTGGCGCAGGCCTCTTTCGGTAATGAAAGGTTCAGATAGATGAATATATAAATTTAGAAAGTAATATAAAGCAAAAATTATTATTATTATTTTTTTTTTTTTTTAAATACAAAATTTCATTTAGTTTAATCACATTGAATGTTTTACTCCAAATAACTGAAGTAGATGTTTTAATTTGAAATACATTGATTAATTATTGTTGCTCCTAACATGGATAAGTTTTTTAAATTTATCGAAAAACAAAAGAAAAAAAAAACTGATGTAATAACTAAAATCAAGTTCTTTAAAAACTACAATCAGCTAATTTGTACAATTATTATACAATTTGAAAACTAAATTTTCTTCTTCAAAGAATGCTTTTCTTTTGATTTCACTTATTTTTATTTTTTTGAATTTTGCATCATGTTTCTAAATTTTAAGAATTTTTTCAATTTTAACTAATAAAAGAAAAAATTTTCAAGTGCAATTTTTTAAAATAATTATCCAGCTGATTCTATGACAAACAAAATAAAGTGTTAGCCTAAGTGATGTACCAGGTTTTAAATAAAAAAAAAGCCTTTAGAAATTTAATGAAGTACCTGATTAGTACTTAAAAAAACTATGATTTTTAAACAAGATGTAGTAGTTATCAGTAGATATGTTAAATTATCAATTTGGGGTTACTTTAAAGCTAAAATGCTTTAAAGTAACCCAAAAACATTTAGTTAAAAAATAATCATTTTAATTTTTTTTAAATTTTATATGAAATAAACCTAATTTTTATTTTAAACATGCCATCTTTCTAAACTATCGAAAAATACTTATAAACATTTTTAAGAATTAAAAAAAGTGTATGAATACATACCTGCTCATAAGCCATGAACTTTAATGCACTTTCAGGAGCAATTTTTAACACATTTATTCCATTCCCTCTCCAAAGGGATTTAGTTCCTCCTTCTTTTAACATATGCCTCAAACATTGTGAGATTGAGCTATATTCTGTACCTTTAACCTAAAATTCAAAACTGCAATTTAATAGACACAAACAAAAAGATAACACTAAAAACTGGAAAAGTAAGTTTTTTTAAAAATAATATTAATATAGCTAGTATTTTAACTGTGCAACAAGTAGGGCAAATTTATATTAAAATTTTTATGCCAGACAGCATTACTTCAAATAATTGAAAGTTAAATATTTTGCTAGGCAGAACATTAAGCAATTGAAAGTTAAAATAAATCCAGAATTAAAAAGTTAAATTCTATTTCTTTTTATTATACTTATTTTTAATAAAATTAGTTTTATTAGTACTTATTTCCTTCTGGGATGTAAAAAAATTGCTGAACCATTATTGCCACCAGTGATTCTTTATTAAATCTGGTAATAAATATTACTGGCACTGTGGCAATAAGCATTTAATACAGGTACTGTGGTAGTAGGTATTTTATGGTCCCCTAAAGTGGACAATAAACAATTTTAAAAAAAAACTTAGCAATGTCAAAAAAAAAGTACATGCAATTGAAAAGTAATGTTATAAATATGCCATATACAACTTTTTTTTTCCAATAAATAAAAATATATGATTAAATAAAAGGATTTTATTATTTTTATTTAAATTTTGATAAACATCTCTTACTTTGTTATAAGGGAAACAGCTATGTAATAACTTTAAGACTTATAATACTGTTTAATCTAAATTAAAACTATTTCCATATTATTAGCAGAAAATTGTAAAAAAGGAGAATTTTTTATTGATATTTAAAACTAATTTCTTTAATTACTATTGACCTGATAATCTAACATTCTAACAAATTATTGTTTTATAAGAATAATCTTTTTTTCCTAAATTAACAAATTATAAACATTTTGAGAACACTTAACACATTTCATCAGTAGCCTATAAATATCAGGCTTGTCATTGTTGGTTAAAAGAGTTAAAAAGTGTAATATGAGGATGATATAGTAATTGTTATTTCTTATCAGTAAAATTATTGATCATCATTTGAATTATGTAAATATTAATTGTTTAAAGAATTATTAAAAAACTAACCTAATGTATAAAAGAACTGACCTGTAAAAATACTTTGATTCTATCTAATGGAGCAGTACAGGTTCTTGAAACTGCCCCTGCTAAGCCACCTGCCACTAAATGACGCCACCACATTCCTGTATGCATTTCGGTTTCTGTAAAGTCTTCTGGGACAAGAACGTTTTCTCCTAAATCTAAGAACTGAAGGTTAAAAACAAATTAAAAAATATTCTGCAAAAATAAATAGAATCAAGAAATTTATAATTTCCTTAAATAAATAAATAAATAACAGTCAATTAGTAATGAAAGCTGGAAGTGTAGAATGATGACTAAATGAAAAAGTCAAGTTTATTATAAAATCATAAAAAATAGCACTATTAATTAACTAAATAAGCTTTGTATACTATTTTTAACAACAAAAAAAAAACTGAAAAACACTTTGAATCTTCTACCGTTCCAAAAAAAGAAAAATGCATTTTATACAGTGCAAGGCTAGGGGGGAACACTCCAGATTAATACACCTAGACTTAAATCTTACACTTTTTATTTACATTGAAAAGAAAGTATTATTAGGGAAGAGCATAGCTGCAAAAATGGATAGGAAAAAATCCACAACAAATTTTTATTAGGAATTATCATTAGGAAAAAACGAAATTATATAAATTTTATGATAATTGCTCCATAATATTTTAAATATTTTTCATTAAGGAAATCTTAGGGATTTTTAAAAAATAAAAAAAAACTTTATTACACTAATAACAATAAATGGCCTTACATTTATAATTAGCATTAAATGAATTGGAAATGTTTTTTCCTTTATGCTAATTGTTATTCTAAATAGTAGTAGACAAGTATATAAATCACTATTGATAATTAAAAGATTTTATAATTTAAAAAGGGAATTTTGAATAAAAATAAACTGAAATTTTTAGAACAAATGAAAAGAAAAGCTTTAAACAGTGAGGCAGGCTCGCTTCATTATGTACTGGTAATATTTATTTAAATATTCAAGCAAGCAATACATTGTGTAAAAATTCTATTCCAATAGGGATATTTTTTGAAAACTTTTTCAATTATAGGGAATTTTCTAAAATGTACAAAACCCAGGAGAATTTTTATTATACTGGTAGACCAGGAAAAATGGCATAATCTAGTAGTCTACTGGTAAATCCAGTAGAGTTGGCAACTATGGAAGAGTAATACCATCTCCTATAGCAAACTACAATAGGGGTGTCGCATACTAGGGAACTAACACATATTTGGCAGTCTTTGTCTATATTATTTATATAGCTTGATTGCTTTTATGTCTCTTTTCCATTTATCTTTCAATTTGTATCATTCTACAGCAAACCTTTATGTTGTAAGTTGTAACATTGATTGTTAATTATCAAAATTATAATCTATGCATATACACCAAATATGTTCAATTTTCTACTGAATATGAAGGTTTTTTTTCCACAAAGAAATAAAATGTTTGATAGTGTAATATAAACATATATACATTTTTCACAAGTTGGATGGTTAAAGTAGAAACATTTACCATCTTTATGGGAACTACAAAATTAAGTTACTACATGAAATTTTTATAAAAAGTTTTCAATAAAAAAAGAAGAAAAAAATCATAACAAAATCGAACCTTTCTGAAAAAGTAAAATATGTTTAACATAAACATACTAATGTTCTCTAGAGTCAAAATAATTTTTTAAAAGAAACTATTCACACAAAAGAAGAAATTTTTTTCTTTCACAAACTTAAAATGCTTACTGAAAAATAAACTCTGCTCTTTTAATAAAAGGGAACTATTAAATAATTTTTTTTTTGTTGAAGTTTTTCTTAAAATTTATACATAAAATTGTAAACAACTACTATCAACATAAAAAAATAAACAAGTTAACTCATTTACCTTGACTAATGATTTCCAAATGTTAAATATAACTAGTTTTCCAATATGAAAATTTTAAATGACAGTTATCCACATGAACATAGCTGTTAACATTTGAACAGCTCATTTCCAAAAGAACTCGAGTTCACAAAAACCTGTGATTATAAATGAATGAAATTTGACACATTAAATCACATGTTTCAACACCGATAGCCAATCAGAGAAGAGAAAAGGAGAGATGGTGACGGAACAGAAAAATTCTTACACCTTAAATGAAAGATAAGGGATGAATGATGCTGGCAAATCAAAAAAGAAGATAAGAAAGAATACAGAGATTGCTTAATCATACAGCAAGAACCACATGTTCTACCAATTGACAATTATTGTTGTAATAATCACTAAAATAAATAAAAACTTTAGTGATGTTAAAATTTAAGCCTATTTATTTATTCGTGCATAAAAATATAAATAACAAAATTGCTGTAAACATAAAAAGGCATTGAAATTTCTATCTTAAAAATGTTTAATTCAATTACATGGGGAGAAAAAACATAAACAACAAATTACTTTTAAAATAATGCAATAAATTATTGATGTGGTAAAAATAGCCGAAGCAGGGTTTTTTCTTTAATTTTTAAAAGAGTAATAAAAATTAATTACAATACAAAATTTTTAATTTTTAGGAAGAGGAAAATATTAATTAATTCTAATAGCTTCTCAAGGTTTCATCATTACAAATAAAAAAAAATAAATATAAAAAAAAGTTTTAGTTTAGATAACTATATATATATATATATATATATATATATATATATATATATTTTTTTTTTTTT